GAAAAAAAAGGAGGAGCATTGGCAATAGATGTTAACTCAGAGCCAGTCTTACTCAGCAAAAAGAGGAGGATTAACATGGATGTTAGCTCAGGGCTGATCTTCCTCACAAAAAAAATGAAAATAAGAAATAAAAAAATAAAAAATATATATTTAAATAGTAAATAAAAAACACCATGACAAGTTGAAAGAGACTGCAGGAGAAAGGAAAAGGCTTCATATGTATTTTAAAATATTTTTTCTGCACATTGAACAGGTGCCCCACATTTTCAATTTACACTGGGACTCACAGATTATGTCACTGGCCCTGAGTGCAGGTCTGCTTTTGACAAATTCTCATAGCTTTTGTTTAACTGAAAATGTTTTTATTTCACCTTCATTTTGAAGGATGGTCTAGAATTCTAGATTCACAGTTTGTTTTCCCTCCAGCACTTTAAATATTTTCCAGGGTTTTGAAGGATACGTCTAGAATTCTAGATTCACAGTTTGTTTTTTTTTTCCCTCCAGCACTTTAAATATTTTCCAATGTTTTCTGGTTTACCCTGTTTTCCCTATATGTAATATATATTTTACCCTCTGGACACTTTAGAATTTTCTTTTTATCACTGGTTTTCAGCAACTTGATTATGATTTGCCTTGATAAGGCTTTCTTTGTGTTTATCCTGTTTGGGATTTGTTGAGCCTCTTGGATCTACAGGTTTAGAGTTTTCATCAAATTTAGAAAAATTTCAGCTCTTATTTCTTGAAATATTTGTTCTCTGCCTCCCCACCTTCATTTCTGAGATTCTCATTATATGTTAGGTAAACCACTTGATATTGTCCCAGTGAGGGTCTGTTTTTTTGTTTTTGTTTTAGCCTCTTCTCTCTGTGCTTTAGTTTTTGTTTTTTTTAGTTTCTATTGCTACTTGTTGAACTTCAGGGATCATTTCTTCTGCAGTGTCTAAAATCTGCTGTTCAACCCATTCAGTGAATTTTTTCTTTCAGTTTGGATATTTTTAAGCTCTAGAAGTTCTATTTGTTTTCTTTTTCATATCTTCCATTTCTCTACTTGTTATGTTCATGTTTTCCTTTAAGTTTTTGAATGTATTTAAAATATCTGCTTAAAGTCCTCGTCTGCCAGCTCCATCGTGTCTGTCATTCTTCTATTTCTTTTGACTGATTTTTCTCCTAATTATGGATCTCATTTTCAGACCTCTTTGCATGTTTAGTAGTTTTGATTGGATGCTGAGCATTGTAAATGTTACATTGCTGAGTCACTGGATTTTGTTGTCTTCATGTAAAAATTACTGAGTTTTGTTTTTGTGGGTACTTAACTTACTTATGAATCAACTTGATCCTTTTGATCCTTTTTTAAAGCTTTGTTAGGGTGGCTGTAAAGTAGCCTTCACTCTAGGGCTAGTTTAGTTCAACTGGTAAGCCATGACCTCCAAATGTCTCCACTGAATTGCCTGGGTGTTCGGCAAGGCTCCTCCTCTGTAGATCACTGAAAGTTGAACGTTTCCCAGAGCTCTGTGAACTCTGGGTATTAATCAGCTTATAGGTCCCCTGTAGTTGTTCTTTCCCCAGTAATTTGTTGACCAGCCTTGTGCAGTGTTTACCCTATGCGTTAGCAGCTTAGTCTTCAGCCCAAGACTCCAAGGGATCCTGTGTAGATTTCTGAAGCTGTTTCTGTGTGTACTTCCTCCTTTCTGATACTCTGCCCTGAAAATTCCGTTAACCTCAGCCCCTCCAAATTCTGATCTCTTTGTCCTTAACTCAGCAAGGTTACCATGTGGTACGCTATTTTCTGGAAAGAGCCTCCAGGGCGAAAGCTGGACCATCATAGCGCCCGCCTCATTTGTTTTTCTTCTTTCAGAGATCACAGTCCTGCGCTGTCTGTTATCTAATATCTGAGAGCTTTTATTTTTTTAATATAAGTCCAGTTTTATAGTTGTTTATGTTGGGAAGGAAAGTCTAGTCCAATTACTCCATCATGGAGTGGTGAGTGGGAGTCTTCCTGGTCCCTTTCATCAGCTTTCTTTCTAACTGAGGTAAAATTCACTTAACAAAAAATTAGCCATTTTAAATCGTACCCTTTCATCAGTTTTTAAATCAACTTTTAGAATGTTCCAAATTCTTCTTCTTTTGCTGGATATTTATATTTAATCAAATAAAATATTTTAAAGGATTTGGAGTGAGGAACTTTCCCTGTGTAAGACTTGAGTTAGTAAAATAGAGCATCAGTATTCTCTTGCCCAAAGAGAATTTCACTCACTTGAATGAATTCAGATTGGTTTCTTTTAATATACTAAAAACACAGAATCCTATATCTGATAGGTTATATTATAAATTACATTTTAAACTGATAAACTACAGTTGATGTATATCTTGGATGAAAGTAAATACTCAGAAAAGCAATAGAAATAAAAACAAAGGGACATGATTAAGAATTACCTCTTTGGGAACAAAGACTAGAAATCCAAGTTTGATTAGTACCCTTTACTCCAAGCATTCTGTTTTATTATACTTTTAAAATCACACTTAATTTCTCTTATTTTTACTACTTTTGCTCACCTGAGGAACTGAATGACTGTTGCTGTTTCTTCTGTTGAGATTGCCTGTTGTGGTTATTGTGTGCGCTACCTTCTCTTTTTGTGAGTCCTGCCTGACTTCAATAGTCTTTAATAGTTTGGAGGTCTTTGAGTCATATTGTGGTATTAAAAGAAGAAACAAAACAATTTTAGAAACTGTTGAAACTAGTTTGCTTTCTCAACCTGTGCTTCTGTTAGAACTGTTGAAGCAAGCTTGACAAAAGCACTCTCCAGGGACAAATACGTGAATAAATTGGCTTTAGGGAGTTTTCAAAAGATGAAGCTTGGGAGACATCTAGGCCTTGAAAGCTGGGTCGGCACTTAGGGGTTGGGATGTCCACTGAGAGTAGAGGTCAAGGCAAGAGACTACGGAGGTGAGGGATGGGATATAAAGGATCTGGAAGGCTAGGAGAGCCACGAGGGAGGAGGTTCTGGGGAGCAGGGTGGCTCAGAATTTAATTAGGTTAAAGAGACAGTCAGACATGAGATGCCTATAAGAAAAAAAACTGAGGCAACTCTTGGTTTGGTGAGCGATTCTTATTTTTTAGATAGGACAAAATCACAGCTTGTATGTAAGAATAAGCAAGCCACGTTATAAAGAGTTTACGTTAACTTGGCAGAAATTGGAACTGTGAAATCAGATATAAAGACAGATTCTCTGTACTACCAGTACCAGCATTGGTCTAGTTAGAATGCATTAAAACTTTTGGTTTTGAAGAAGTTTGTCCATTTTTTGAAAGCTACAATGTATTAATACGAACATTTAGGTGCAAGTAATATTTCTCTTATTATTAATACCTACCTATGTTAGGAGTTTATGTTGCTTTGCTACTCTGTTGCTACTGAAATACCATCAATACACCTCATTTATATTTGTATATGAATTCTGTAGATTAAGCCATTTGTTGCCAGTAATTTTCAAGTTAAAAATTTTTTTAACACTAGCCATTTTCATATTTTTCTTCTCAGTTTGACTCGTTCATACTTAAAACACATTAACCAGGGAATAGTAAAGAAAGAGTTCACAAGGACTGCCAAAAACCTCTTCTAGGCTCCCAGGAGAGAGAAAAATACTCCCATCTTGTTATAGTAAAAAAAACCTGAGTCTCAAGGACACCCCCAAATCCTTGGGAATCCTCTGTAAACATCAGAAGCAAGAAAAGGATTTTCAAAGAGTTTTAATAATGAACAACAGCTCATTGTATCTTCAAATTCTATGTGTTAGTCTTTTATAAAGAGTCCTGCACAATAGCTTTGATATTTTGGGGTTTTTGTTTTGTTTTTTCCCACCCACGTGGGTTTAATTTCTTAAAGTTTTTTAGAATGATTTTCTTTATATCAGACCCTCATCAAAGTTCGTTTGCTGGCAAAGACTGTTTTCCTACCAACTTGTAGGATTGGTTTAAGTGAAAATTGATGGAAGCCCTGATGAGCAGTTCCTCTGCCTAGAGTAAATTTTGTGTGTGTTGTGTATATATCAGTTTTGGTTAGCTACGCTGACAGAGCTAGACCAAGATAGTTTCCTGCCTGTTAATCAAGGCCACACAGACACAGCTCAAGGAAGGATGACCCCTGCCTCAGGAAGTTTTGAATCAGCCACTATTTATAACTACTATATAGTAGAACTTGAGATCAGTTCTTTACCCAGTTGATAGGAAAAGTTCTCTGCCAAATTTTGCATTTGAGGAAACAGTTTATGGGCCTAAATGAGTGAAGCCTCTGTGTGAAAGGAAGGAATGTGACAGTGACTGTAAGTATTTTTGCTGATTTGGGTCAAGGGTGTGGTGGCAGAGGTGTAGAAAGTTGTCAGTGACAAAATAGGTTATTACATTTTAAAGCAATTGATGGTTAATGGCACCTTGGATTGTCTTTAGCACTCTGTGTATGGACTCCTGTATTGCTAATAGTATAGTTGAAATGAGGGTATGTGATGGACCGACATTATCTCTCAACATAGGACAGGAGGAGGAAATTAGCTATTGTGTTTCCAGACTAGGCTCTTCCTCTGGATATACACATAAACCTTTTGGTTATTTGAGATGTATTTCTGTATATGTATGCTTTTTATAATACTCTGTTGGTCCTTGTTTCATTAAGAGAAAGTTTCATAAAGAATTCATTTATTATGAAATAATATTGTATACTACTATATGTAATCTCTTATAAAACCTCATTCTGCCTAACTTTAGGAAATTAAATATGGCAGAACATTAAAGCAGACAATTAGAGAAATACCACAAGTAATATTTTTTTCTATGTTATTACATCACCATCTTAGGAATGCCTTTATGGAGTTGAATTACTTAATGGATTACAGGTATGTTTTTACATATGCAATGTAAATGAATTATTTAGGGATAGGTGGGCAATGTTTTAGTGGAGTTTAAATTAGGAAATTATAAAACCGTGTTAACATTCTTATCTTATTTTAATAGGATTATTCAAGATAAAGTTGTAGCCATTTTCAACAAGGATCAATGATCAAAATTGTTCTTTTTAAGAAGAAATTCCCAAGTTAAAGATGAAAGGAAAATACTGGAATTGTTTGGATTCTAACTGACGAGATAAAGAATATAGTATTTCACAGTTACTTGTAATGGAACCTTAGTAAAATTCATCACTTGTCATGCACCCAACTGGGAACATGGATGTTGGTTTTTCTCGTTCTTCCATTCAAACACTGTCAAGAAGCCACTGCAAAAACATCAAACAAAAAATTTCTCAATGGGAAGGAAGAACTAATGGTATATCTAATCCAGATAGGTGGCATCCAAAGGACTTTGGAGTGAGATATAATAACCGTCATCAAGAGATTCTTCTTAAGAAAAATCCTGTTGCTGAGGGAAAGAGCAGAAAGTTGGATGTAACCAACTCTCAAAATGTCGGTCTAGATATTAATGAAGATGCCAAAAGCCACAATCAAAGTGAGGATGAAAGTGAGAAACGTGAATATGATGATACATGCTTCTTTAAAAATAAATCAGAATCCGATTGGGTATGTTCTCAGGTCAAACAAATTGAAAGCTGGAAAGATGTTGTTTTGGATCCAGAGACTTCATTACCTCCAGGAAATTTCTATACCTCACAAATATTGTGGAAGAAAATAGAAGCACTTCCCCCAGATAAAGTCTTAAATTTGGCTTTAGAACATTGTGACTCTTCAGAAAAAGAACTGGATTTCAGATTTCCGGATGGTTCATATGGAATAACCAAGAGCTTAGAAAATATTTACTCTGAACCTGAGGGACAAGAAAGTGGACTTTCTATAAATCCTTTGCCAAAACCTCGTAGGACATTCAGATATTTATCTGAATCTGGTGTTACGCCATATAAAGAAAGAAACTGTGACAGAAAATACTGTGAAAATAATTCTTGTGCAGAGTCTTCTTTGGCCTCTTCTGGGGACCCTGAACCAAAGAAATATGGCGGAAAAATCAAAGGGAGATCTAAAAGGTATGTTTGTATTTGCTAGATAATGATTTGCAAATATTTTCCTTACAGAACTATTGAGCTCCTTTTCAAACCGATTTCCATTTCCCTGTGTGAGTTACAGCCCTAATTTAATTATACAGATGTTTATTAACCCGCGGGAAAAATACGTTCAAGAGAAAATAGAAGTATAGGTAATTTCTAAGACAATCTACTGACATAAAAGCATCAGAACAACTTTCATTTTATACCTTTAAGGATGTGTAGGGAAGCAAGTACATTCTTCTCCCTCATTTAGGGCATACTGGCCCTAGCCTCACTTTTTATTAGAGAGTGAATTTAATAAAGATACCCAGTGAAGAACATGAATGTAATTGGCTAAAAGCCTCCAATTTTCTCATGATGCATTTAGGGCGCCAGCCTCATTGTTTATTTTTAGGTATCTGATAAAACATCTTTGCACACAAGTCCTTTACCTATCGATTTCTGTCTGTCATACCAATTTAAAGAAGACTAGAATTTTAAAAGATACAGCTTTAAAATATATCTCCTTTCTTAAGGAAATCTTTTGAATTTGAGGATATTCAGCACTTTCGAAATCGGAACTCACAGAAGATTGATGAAGAACTTGGAAGAAATTCTGGCTCAACACTTTATTACACACAGTCTGAGGACAGTATCTATGAGGATATCATATGTAGGTGTCCACAAACTTTGCTATTAAATTTAATGAGTATGTATTTGGTAGAGCCCTTAATTATAGGATAGTATTTTCTTTTATAGTCAAGTGTATCTTGCTCTAGATTTTTCATTTTAATAGGAAACCTTTGTTGTATAAATTCTTTTATTCTTTAATGGATTTTACAACTAGTTTAATGGAGTTGCTCAGTTCAAAAGTAGGTGTTTATAGTATAGTATTTTGAGAATTCTTTTAGCTTGGTTGGATGCCTCTGTGGCTTACATGCTCAAAGTGCCATTGATTTGGAGACCTCCCTCCCCACAGCAATGTAGGATAGAAAGCTGAATGTATTTAGTCAGTTTTTTGTTTCTTTTCCTGGCTGTAATCTCTTTGTTTCCATTTAATTATGTTTTCTCTAAACTTATTTTTTTCATTATTTTTTAAGATCCCACCAAAGAAAATCCATATGAAGATATTCCAGTGCAGCCTTTGCCCATCTGGAGATCCACTTCAGCATGGAAGCTACAGCCCCCTAAAAGTGCTTTCAAAGCACCCAAGGTATAATCAGAGAATTAATGTAAGAAAACATTAGAATCTTGTTTATGATCCCTACAAAAAGGTTAAAATGGTTTAACTAGGGCCAAAACTAAGAGGCACTGAAATGTGGGTTTTATTGTTGTTGGTGGTAGTTTTTTGTTCTTTTGTTTTGTTTTTGGGGGTAACACACAGCTTTTTGTTTTCTTTGGTTTTGAGGGGGTTTGTTTGTCTTTTAGCACTTCAGAAAAAAAAAAACTGAATATGAACACCTTTGGACAGGCCATGAACTTTCAGTTCACTATAGTTAGCACAGCTTCCTATTAGTCTCACATCAACCTGTGGCCTAAATTACCTGTCTGGTCCCTGAATGCATTCACCAGCCCTGGAAGCAAAAGGGGCCTTGAGTTAATGAGGACTCTGAGCTATTGTTTTCTGGAAATTTGATTACGTTGTAGCAGAAGAATTTTGGATTAGAAACCTGAGACACTTCTTTACAAATGGTGGAAAATAAATTATGATATCCTCACTTGAGATGATTTTAAAGAAAAGATAAATTTTTTTCTGTGTTTGAGAACACAGAAATTAACTAGATGATCTTACCCTTACCGCTACATCTTCTGTTTTAGCTTCCTCCCAAACCTCAATTCCTTCAGCGGAAGACTATGGAACTGAAGAACTCACAAGCTTTTTTACGGTCAAAACTCACAAAGGATACCACTTTGCCCGTCACGTTAACTGAATGGAAGCTTTTCCGAGCTGGAGAAGTTGCAAATAGGAAAAGGAAAAATCTTCCAAAGGTAAGGACTCCAGTGCTTTTATTCTTTGATTCTTACTTCAGCATTTCCATAAATGAGAATAAATAAACTTTAGACTGAGATGAATAATAGGTTAGAACTGACCCACTGGAATTAGAAGGTTTGGAAAGCAGCCTTAAGTTTTAAGTTTTTGCTCATGCAAGAAAAATGCATGAATGGCTTTTGCCAAGCTTTCTTTATGGATTTGGAAAATTGATTTTAGGTGGAGAGCTTCACTTCGATTACCTTAGTTCTCATTAAACTCTGCTGCCTGTTTCAAGAAAACACTGGAATCTTATATAAAAGGACGTTCTATTAGGCTGGCTTCGGTGGTGTTCTTGCTCGTTTATATAATTGCCAAAGTGAATTTAGTTTTGTGCCTGAGTTTACAGATTTTCAATAATGACAAAGTATATGCCATTAATTTGGGATAAAAATTTCCATTCAGAGGAAGGAAAAAAGAAATTTGACTATTACTTGGGAATAGAAATTTTCAGCAATTATACTAAATAAATGATTTCTCTCTTAAGGGAGAAAAGGCAGTAAATCTGTGAATAATCTTGACTAGAGCCATTGGAACCAAAGTGAAGAAATTGGGATTATTTGTAGACAGATGTATATATTTTTTAGGAGAGACAGTTAAGAAAGTACATGAAAATATTGTAATACTCTTTACGTTACTTCGTTCTTCTGTAATTCAGGATGTTTTCAGGATTACTATGCAGAAATCAGATCATTTAAATAGTATTCCTTTCCTTAATCCCATCTGAATTAGCTATATGTATCCGTTTCACACACAATTTTTATACTGATTTTAGCATTAAACAAAAGTCACAGCTGTTTCTTGGTTTAGTAATTGCTTATTGGTTCCTTGGGAAATATTCTGTTCCACAATTACTTTAATTCTTCTGTTCTATTTCCTGCCCCTCCCTCTTTAATATGTGAAGAAAGGCACACAGTTTTTAAAAAGCACTAAACTGATCTCTCTTAGTGAAAAACAAACTCTTTGGCTGTTTATTCTCCTGTGTATGGTGAGTAATATTTAAAAATCAGAGATTTAAAGAGTTGCCAGGCATTCTGCAGTAGTCCTCTCCTCTGAGAGATCATGACGGGCACAACAGAGCAGCCGCCCACGGGGCCCAGAAACAACAGATCATTTCTTCACAGGGGCAAGAACACAGACACATAAGAGATTGCATTTAAGATGTGGTTCTTGGAATGGCATTAACAAATATTTAGGAATTATGGATTGTAGAGTTTAATGAGACCCGAGGAGATTTGCAGTGCTTTTGATTTCATACTGCAGTATTTTATGTACTGCGGATCCCCTGAGTACTCAAAGCTTGTTCTCTTTCTGATTATAGGTGATATGATCCAGATTTTTCCAATATTTTCCCAAAGGTTTTTTGAGAAGTGGAGAGGAAAAAAGTGGTGATGAACTCTTGATTGTCAGGCAGGAACAAACTGTTGTAGCATTTCTACTTGTGACCCTCCTTGGATTAAATCCTTTTAGGTTGTTTCATTTGCAATACAAATTTTGGCTTTGAAATGTCTTCAGGAACAACATTCCATGAGGAAAGCAGTTTTCATTTATTTCCCCTTTGATGACTAGAGCTACCCCTGGAAGGGAAACTGGTTTCACGGTTTGAAAATCACTGATCTAGTCCATATGCCTCTTCCCCACCCTTCCTTTCTTTCTCGACTCTGGAAGCTGGTGTGGGATTGTTTGCTAGAGTAGATTTCCTAATGTTTTATATTGTTTGTATCAAGCGTGTACAGCAATATGGTTTCTACTATTTCTTAGGAAGAATATTCTACAGTATTTTCTGCAACTAGAAGGTAAATGTAGGCTCTTCTTCTTAGCTCATAATCAAAACGTAAATTTTATTACTTTATCTCATATTTCTAGAACAGATAGTTCCCTTTCCTTTATAATATTTGAGTATACTTTTGAGTATACTTTTCAAATGCACATTAATAATTATACTTTTTTTGGTCTTATGAACCCAAAATACATATTTACCTCATACATCCTCCATATAGTCCCTAACAATAGCGTTTTATGTTGGATTCTCTTATTTGTTTTTTTTTTATAATGGTAATATTTAAGAACATTGGTAATTTTTCATTTGAATGGCAGCTACAAAAATCTTTAAAACAACAAACTCACCCAAAAATGTGGGAATAATCTGTGTATTGGAAGCACATGTTTCTCACGTGTTATTTTTCTTGCACTGGACTGATTCACTGCCTATGGGTTGCCAGGATTACTAGAGAAACAAGGACAAAAGAGAAAACAACATTTTTCTCAAAGTGGCTTTGTTGGTTATCATCTTGTATAATGTTCCTAACAATTGTAATTCTGGGCATTAAATATGTTAAATCAGGATTAATAGTTAAGAAAAAAGAAAAATATGCATGGAAAAACTGATCAGTTCCTCCTTTTGTTTTTTTATTTTTTTTTTATAATTTTATTTATTTATTTATTTTTCCCCCAAAGCCCCAGTAGATAGTTGTATGTCATAGCTGCACATCCATCTAGTTGCTGTATGTGGGACGTGGCCTCGGCACGGCCCGAGAGGCGGTGCGTCGGGTTGGTGCGCGCCCGGGATCCGAACCTGGGCCACCAGCAGTGGAGCACGCGCACTTAACCGCTAAGCCACAGGGCCAGCCCTCAGTTCCTCCTTTTAAAAGTGGCTGTTGATCAGCTTTAATTCTTTCCTCCTTTTTAAACCCAGTCTGTGTGTATGTCTCTCTCTGTCTCTCTGTCTTTCACACACACCCCCCAGCAGCAAAGAAAGAATTCTAATAAGTAATGCTTATTAAATGGAGCATGGTTTTTGTACTTGAGCGTATTTGAGAGTCTCCTATTTTTATGACATGTGTCTAAAATAAATTGTCATGTTAGTACTCCCAGTAGCAAAGAGGTAGAGTATTCCTTTTGACAAAAACTTTCTAAGTGTGATTATCCTCTCTTTGCGAAGAATTCCTGGGAGCAGAAATAACTGAGCCTCACCCTGCCTTCTAAGTGAATAAGTGTTCCAGTTGCTACTCTGGGCAAGCGAAACCTTGAGTCCACTAGTAAAGGCTTGGTCACTATAGGGAGTGTAGTAGCCAGACTTCCTGCATGTTGTGACATGGAGTGACAAGGAATCTCTCTAAGAGCCTGTGCTGGGTTCCTCTGGAAAGGAGAGATCCTTTCCCCCTTCTCTTACTCGTGTTGTATGGACTTTGAATTAGAACAACATACCATCTTACTAAAGATCATTTTTGATTCAAAATTGAAAAATGTAAAGATTTTTATTTATAAAATGGATCTTTCTCTGAATGAGAATCACTAATAAATTAATATCATCAAACTGCAAAACTTGTTGGTGTTGGCTTTGACTTGTACTTTTCTGGTCTTTGTTCAGCTTGTATTGAAAATAGATGACATATTTGAATCTAAGAGAGGGAAGAAGAGGGTAAAGTTACACCCTTACCCTGGAAAAGACTTACCTCCTTCAAAAGGTAAGAATTGTTCCAGCTGTCCATAGCTATCTGCATACGAGGGGAGAATTATTATATTACTTAATGTTTGATGTGAATTATAATTTTTGGTTTACTTCCCTGATTATCCCACTTAAATGTAAAACTTCTTTAGGATAAGGGACTATTTCTTTTTCTTCCTCAAATCCATTTTGTTTAGTTCTGTACCAAGTGATAATTATTGGATGAATAAGTAAATAAATTAAAAAATAATTATAAACCAATGAGACCGATTTTCATGGGAAGATTATATCATTATTTTGTAGTCCTACTTTAATTTATAGTTATTTATCAGTATAGACTCAGTGGAGAAATGAATATATTAGGTATATATAAACTGAAGGTATGTGGTACTCAACTTGTAGTCATCTAATAAGTTCAGTAGTTTTATCCTTCTGATGCATAGATAAAACTTATATTGTCTTAATTAAGAAACTTGCAGTATCCGTAGTGAATTATTAGATTTTCTTAAAAACTCATGCAAGGTTCTTAACTTGGTTGTCTGGCAAAGAATATGTAGAATTAAGCAATTTTTGTCTATGAGATTTATAAGTGAGAAACAACAGCCAAGTCATAACAGAGAAGAATATTTCATATTTTTGCAGACTTCCAAATACAGAAATTTGTTAGTTTCCCCTGAAAATCTATTCTACATTCTAACAATTACTATCTGAAAATAAAATTCTCCATGCTAGAATTCAAGACTCTTTCTTCTTATTCTGTGATGATTAAAATCAACTGGTCACCATTTTTTTTTTTTTAATTTTTTTTTTTTTATTTTTTTTTTTTTTTTTCCCCCAAAGCCCCAGTAGATAGTTGTATGTCATAGCTGCACATCCTTCTAGTTGCTGTATGTGGGACGTGGCCTCAGCATGGCCGGAGAAGCGGTGCGTCGGTGCGCGCCCAGGATCCGAACCCCGGGCCGCCAGCAGCGGAGCCCACGCACTTGACCGCTACGCCACGGGGCCGGCCCTTTTTAAAATTTTTTTTTTTTTTAATTTTTTATTTAACTGGTCACCATTTTAAGTGTGAGTTTTCATATTTTCAAAAGCAATTATTAAAACATGTTCAGTCTTCTATAGAAGAAATACTTTTGGTTATTGTTCATAATAATTGCTACCATTTATTGAATAAACTAATAGTTTCTTTATGTACTTTATCTCATATATAACATATAACCACACTAGGAGGTAGGGACTATCCTAATTTTACAGACAAAGAAACTGAGTCAAAGGAGGAAGCTTGGATTTGTGTCAAGGAGCATGGCACCACAAGGTCTTATCCTTTTCTATCACCAATAGTTGCTTAGTTTTTCTTCTAAATCTGATTTTTAGCAGTTTAACTATCTCCTCTCCGTGTGTTTCCTTATCTTCAATAAGGATATGGTCAAGGCCTTTTTATTTGTATAATTCAGAACTAGATACAGAAGATGAAAACTGATGCCAGATGTTATGTTCAGATACATTATCATTAATTTTCTAAATAATCCTACGTGGCAGGTATTGTTGTCACTGTTTTATAGATAAGGAAATAAATTATAAATTGCAAGTTATGTAAAATATCAAGACACTTGGACCAGGACAAATTCTCAGAAAATATTATCATTTTCCCAGATTAACAGCAGTCTATTGATAACTATACTCTCCAGATATGCCTCTCAAAGTAGATTATTAGTGATCTCTTATTTTATTTGTATGCTTTATGCCTTATGGGTTAGGAATATTTAAGTAAGTTTGCTCTAAGACAAGTTTTTGAAGAGCCAAATCCTTTTTTCACTGTCACTGAAAAGAAAAAAATTCAACAGCATGCACTGCCAACTTCTAGCACGCACACACAAAAATGGAGCAGTTCCTAAATTGTAACCCTTCCCTACAAGTTTGTTTTTCTTTTGCATGACTCAAAGGAAATATGCATTTACCCAGTCTCTGTGACTAACTTCTTCAGTGGACCAGAGGAATTTCTCTCATGCCTGAGGATCTCCTGGCTTCACAGTCACGGTTCTCAGAATTTTGTTTTCCTCCTTAAGCTTTTGTCTGTATATCAACAATGCCTAGTAGAACCAGATAATTATATTTACCTACTCTGTCAGTACATGCTAGGTTTTATTGAATTTATTCCAACCTTAACATTTCTTTTTTTTTTTTTTAAGATTTTATTGATTTTATTTTTTCCCCCCAAAGCCCCAGTAGATAGTTGTATGTCATAGCTGCACATCCTTCTAGTTGCTGTATGTGGGACTCGGCCTCAGGATGGACGGAGAAGTGGTGCCTCAATGCGCACCCGGGATCCGAACCCGGGCCACCAGCATTGCAGCGCGCGCACTTAACCACCAAGCCACAGGGCCGGCCCAGCCTTAACATTTCTTAACTTTCAGTTATCACGTCTTACAAAATGACTTCTTGCCCTTCTTCAATTCTGTCATTATAATTGTGTATTGAAGTCACATATAAAAAGAGACAACCTAGTACTTTTTTGATCCCTACAGTCTCAATAGATTTCCCTATTGCCTTATAAACCTCTTAACCTTCATTCAGTGTCTTAGAATGCAAATCATCAAAACCCCTTGAATGTGAATATATTAAAGCGACTTGAATGACCTTTTATAAGGTTTTTTCCCGTTCTATTACCTTTCCTCCTTTCTCCTTTCTTTTCTTTCTTTCCAGACACTTCATAGGCTCCTAAGAGGTGCCTGGTGCTAAGGATACAAATAGGATACAAATAGGACTCAGGAGCACACAGTGTTTGTTCCTTCATACTGAACAATATTTTACAGCCACAGTACACTTTTTGTCATGGTGGTTATTTTGAAGTTATAAAAGCTGTATAGTACACAATATTTAAATTGCTACTTTTTCTGTAACATCCCTTATGTACCCTTCCCACCTATCTTATGAAGAGGCAGCATTTTTAAAATATTTTCTTATTTCTTATTATAAAATTAAATTTGCACAGCAAGAAATTATAATAATATAGAATAAGATCTAATGAAAAGCCAATTTCTCAAACCTCCTCCTCCTACTCACAGAAAATTTTATGCACATGCAAATATTTTCTACCTATATAATTTTATACCATTTATTGGTATAAAACACTGTAAACCATTTACACCATTCAGACTTTTTATGTCCTTTTTAAAAAAAACGTAATATATTTTGGAGCTCTTTCAGCATCAACACATAAAGATCCACAGAGCTGTACTGTATTTCATTGTATAGATATAAAAGAATTTTATTTAGCTAGTAGGCATTTTGGTTGTTTCTGACATTTTATTTAACCTCTGGATATTTAAGTTCTGTGTATGTGTGTTAAGTTCCATTATTTTTTTTTTTTTTTTTGCTCTTCAAACAATGCTGCAATGTACATGTTTTTGCTTATAATTTTATATATTGGTAAGACTGCATCTGTAGAATAAGTTCCTAGCAGTGGGCTTAATCAAAGAACATATACATTTAAAATTTTTATAGCTGCTGCCAAATTGTCCCACAGATTATAACAGCTTATGTTTCTGTGAACAACATTTTAAAATGACTTTTTCCTCATAATCTTCACTAATACTGTATTTTATTAAAGTTTTATTTTTTGCCAATATCATGATTGAAAGTTGTAGGTTATTTATTGGATTTTTTTTTTTTGTGAGGAGATCAGCACTGTGCTAACATCTGCCAATCCTTCTCTTTTTTTGCTGAGGAAGACTGGCCCTGGGCTAACATCCGTGCCCATCTTCCTCCACTTTATATGGGACGTCGCCACAGCATGGCTTGCCAAGCAGTGCCTCGGTGCGCGCCTGGGATCCAAACCGGTGAACCCCGGGCCGCTGCAGCGGAGCGCGCGCACTTAACCACTTGTGCCACCGGGCTGGCCCCGGTTATTTATTGTTTTAATTTGCATTTCTTTAATTATGAATTTGGACAATTATCATGTTTATCAACAGTTATAAATTTTTTTCTATAAATTGCCTAGTCCTATGCTTTATTCGTTTTTCTGTTGTGCTATATTTTTTCTTATTCATTTTTAACAGCTATTTGAATATTAAGAAGCTTAGCCTTTGTGTCTGCAATGTGTATTACAAATATTTTCCTGTTTATTGTTCACCTTTTGAATTTACTAATGATTTTTTTATTAGATAGAAATTTTACATTTTCATATAATCAAACTTACATGCATTTTTCATTTATGACTCCTAGACCTTGTTTTTCCTGATATTTAAAAATTTTCCCTTTCTTTACATTTTTTTATTTTGCTTTTACTTTTCATACTTAATCTAGAAATTTTTCATTCACTTGCTCACAAAGTTTTGTTTTATTTTTTTTGGTAAATTGGCCATGTGCCTAACACTGTGGTACAAAACACTCCCTTGTAAAAGCATAGCCCCTTATCTTCAAGATCCTTAAAATCTGATTGGGGAAAATAAGAGCAGTTCAAAGCAGTGAGTACTGTAAGAATCCAGAGTAAAGGAAAGTTTTGTTTGGCCTAAAGGTAGCTTAGAGACATCATAAACGAGGTAGAATGTTACTTCATAAACTTATTTGGTAATCTCTCTTGGCCCCACATTTTCCTATTATTCTAAATTCATAATTTGTTCCATGTTGAGATTTTTATTAGGCCAGGTTGGTGATCCACCTTTGGTATTTATTTGGGAATATAAAGACGAGGATGTGAATGTAGAAATAGAATCCACTCTGAACTAGGCTTCTTAAAACTAGTCTGAATTGCTGTTAATTTCTAGAATTAGGAATGAGAGGGGAGCTGAGGAGAGAGGTAGGGTGTGGGAAGAAGATAGAGTAGAGTAGTTTCTTCTCGGAGCCTTTTATTCTCTTTTGTAACTATCCCACCATGATGTAACTAAGTGGTTTAGGGAAAGGCTCAGCATCCTTATTAATCCTTACTCCAAGCCCCTAGGTCTGTGGAGGTTTTACATGGTTCTCATCCTCCTGTACTTCCTACTGTTGGACAATACAAATGGAAACTCTCTCTCTTTTCAGGTGAAACCAGTGGGAATGAAAGTGATGCTGAGTATCTGCCAAAGAGTGAGTGAGTCAGTGGGGCTGCTCCCTTTCTTGTAATGATCATGGTTATGGGTGGAGTGGCACCTACCTTTGTGATTAGGCATGTTTTTCCCACATGAAGTTTCATTTTGTAGGTGATTTCTTCATTATAGGAACCTGTCGAGATTTGGGGAACTAAACAGTACACTGTCAGATGTTTGACAGCATTAAAAATCTCCCATGGTGGTGTGAGGCAAACCAGTATGGTTCTTAAGATGGAATGTTCTTAGGGGAGTGGCAGAGCTGCATGTTCAGACATATGTGCAGAAGTTTCCTAGCAGTCAAAACAGAGTATGTGAATCGTCCTCTGAAACAAATACTTAGCATTAAATATCTGATTTTTCATAGTCACTCAAGTGTAATTATTTAAGTAACTTGGATATCTCTGACACTGAGACAGGAAGCTGATCTGTTTCTTATTCATAGGCATTTATATTCCAAATTGTTGTGCCATTTACTTTCTGTTAGAATATAGAATATACTCTGCGTTTTTGGCTGTATTTGTTCAAGCACTTCATGGTGCTCTGTATCCTTCATCTAATGGATTTTCACAGCAAGTTATTGAGTTCCTGATAAACTGACCGACATACTGAGGCATGGAAAAAGTAGGAGACATGAATTATCAAAGCTGAGTTCAGGGCAGCTCCAAGTCTGATACTCTGATCTTATGATTAATAATCATGTGCTCCCTCCACTGGCCCGAACTGCTTCAGGAGTTTGCTTCTGTAGCCTGCCTGAAGGTGAAACTTAAGTCATCATCAGGTTCAGCCTGGATCTGTAAAGATGACTAATTTAGTGCTGTTGCTACGGAGAAACAGGACCTAAAATTCTCTTGACTTGTACTGAGCCCTTTTGGGCTAAGTAAAGCTTTGCCTAGAACACTAAGTGTACTCGATAATTCTGGGGAGCCACTCCTAGATGTATTTTTTAAGTGTTCTTAATATTTTGATCCTTAATGTAACTTCTTTGGGGGCAGAATGCATCATATCTCAAAATAAAAACAAACAATTAGTCAGAGGATGAGTCTTTCAGTCACATTGGCTCAGAATGACACATAAGCAAATCCTGGACACTCAGAGTATTTCTTCTGCAAGTACTGCATTTCCCCAGTGGAGACTGCCGCAAATTGTTCGGAATTTAGAGATAAATGAGAATAAAGGATAAGTGCTATCCAGTTTTGAGTGGCATTGCTTCTACTATTTAAATAGCATGCTTCTATAATTTCATGTTTTTGAGAAATAGTCTGCTGATAGATATCTTCTATTTCATTTTTTTTCCTCTTGCATGTAGCACCATTTGTTGATATAAGCATATGTCCATTATTAGTAATATATGCCAAGCAGAGAAGGGAAAAGGACAATTTCTTTAATGTGAGGATAGTTTTTGTTTTAATTTGATCAAACTCATCCCTTTATTTTTTTTTTATTTTTTTTGTGAGGAAGATCCGCCCTGAGCTAACATCTGCCAATCCTCCTCTTTTTGCTGAGGAAGACTGGCCCTAGGCTAACATCCATGCCCATCTTCCTCCACTTTACATGGGACGCCGCCACAGCATGGCTTGCCAAGCGGTGCGTCGGGGCGTGCCTGGGATCCGAACCGGCGAACCCCGGGCCGCAGCAGCGGAGCGCGTGCACTTAACCTCTTGGCCACCAGGCCGGCCCCAAACTCATCCCTTTACCTTCTGTAGGACTCAGTTCTTTTATCAAATCTTTCCTCTCCACCTGTGATTTTGTGGTCCCAGCAATGGTATCTGTCGTCAGGCCAGTGCTTTTACCTGATATTTTCCATGTGTCCTGGTGTTATGCCATGAAAGATGGGATAACATAGAGTATGTGTTCGGATGTACATAGAGTATCTTTTGGGACATGGAACATCAGTCCCACCGCAGGGCCCCCAGGTGCTTGTGAGAATCTGCTCTTGTCCCCCAAATATGTCATAGCCCTAACAGGTATGTCTGCGTGGCAGACATTGGTTAGTCAACCTCATTCAGCAACAACTGAGTGAAGATTAGTCCCATATGTCTCATGACCTCTGGGTGCTGGAGGGAAGACAGGGCTACAAAGGAAAAGCAAAGCTCCGTGATCTCATTACAGATCGCCACAAGCGCTTGGCACAGCTGCAGCAATCTTCCAAGAGAAATCCTCACTACCAGACCTTAGAGCGGGATCTTATCGAATTACAGGAGCAGCAGCTGTTTGAACTTTTTGTGGTGGTGTCGCTACAGAAGAAACCATCAGAAATAAACTATATCCCCCAGGTCATACAACAATTCCCTAGCAAGGTAGGTGCAAGGAGGCCAAGAGACGTTCAGGAATGTTCCTGTGTCTCTGTGTATTTATTTCCTCTCTTCTTGTTCATCTCAATCAGCTTTTGCTAATACTGTACATCTTGTAGGATCTGGTAAGTGACTCTGATGACATCTCAGGTCAGGCATGAGCTGCAACCAAGGGGGAGAAAAAAAGCTCATTCTGCAACTTGGTTTTTTATTTTTTGCTCTGCTGTTTACTAAGTGACCTTTAGCAAGTTACAAAGCCTTAATTTTGTCATCCTTAATGAGGGGAATAATAAAGGTGGCAGAATAGGGGAGCAGTTCAAAGTATAGACTCTGAGCCAACTATCTGCATTTGCCACTTATTAGCTCTGTGACTTTGAGCAGTTACTTAACTGCTCTGTGCCTTGGTGTCTTCATTTGTAAAATGGAGTTAATCATAATAGTGTCTACCACAATAAGTTGTAGTGAGGATTAAATGAGATAATTTGTTATAAGGCACTTAGAACAATGTCTAGCACATAGTAAGCACTATATAATGTTATCCACTATTAATGAGATAATGTATCTAAAGTGCTTATTGCAGTTCCTGGCACACAGTAAGCACTTGATAAATGGTAGCTGTTATTTACAGTATTATTTGGTTAGCTTTACCTTTTTCAAAAAATTCATTTAATCAATATTTCTTAAATACCTACTGTTTGCCGAGATTAGGTGCTGGGATTACAATTGAAATAGATCTTCTTGGTTCTTGCCCTCACAGGGTTTACAACATAAACCCCAAATGTGGCTCTGTGCTTTGTGGCAGCAAATACAAAGAGAGAAACATGATCATTACATCAGAGATTGCAAACTGGTGGCCTCTGAGCAAACTGGGCCCAGAGATATAATTTTTGGTTTGCACAGTGTTTTTGTAAAAATAATAATAATTTTTTGTTGTTGCCAATATTTAAAAATCAAATTTCACATAAAAATCTGTATTTCTGCTTTTTCCTGAGAAACTGGAAAGACTGCCGACACTTAGCCTACATTCCTAAGTGGCAAGAATTGGCTGAGGCGGAGTAAGGAGCAAGACTGGCTTCATGGGCCTGTGACCAGTACAGTCGCACAAGGCCCCTCACTCAGGATGGCCCTGCACTGGGGGTTTAATGCTCTGCAGTCACTGTTGAAATTCTTAATAATTTTATATTTGAATTTGTATTTTGTTAAGTGAAGTCTGATAGGACAATGGGGCATGTGCCAAAGTCTTAAAACCTTGGTCCATGCATGGTTTCACCACCTGCCACCTCCCCAGGATGAGTTCCTAGTTGTCCTCTGTCCCTGGCAGGATCTTGGGCATAGGCATGGAGAGGGTCGGGATCAGGCAAGCATTGCCCTGTGGCATCTCCAGGCAATGCATAGTGAGGCCCTCCTGCCCTGAGTTGGCAGTACCACTTGTGTTCAGTGGGTGGCTTGGTGGGGCAAGCTTTTCCACCACCCCCAATCCACATACCAAGCATGTCCCCATGTGAAGACTATTACCCCTTGAGGGTTTCCCAGCTGCTGTTGGTTGGAGCTGCTGTGGGGTCCATGGGAAGGGGAGATTCCTGACTCAACCTCTTTACCCCCAGTCAAGACACAGAGTTTCAGTCCTGTGGCTGGCCGGAGGGGAAGCCCCGCAGCTGGGGGGCCGCTTGTGTGCTAGATTGAGGGCCAGGGTCCCTGGGCACCTGTGAGGGTCTGCACTTGTTCCCTAGGATCCTTGAACCTGAAGGAGTATGACATTAAATAGCAAATAAAAACCCCATTACAGGTCGAGAGAGAGACCACAGAAGAAAAGAAAAAGTTTTATATTTTATCTTATATTTAATTTTTCTTGCTTTTTGAACAAGGGGCCCACAGTTTCATCATGTACTGTGCTCTGCAAGTTATGTAGCTGATCCTGGTAAAGAGTGATCCCTTTAAATAGGGAATTTACTCACTCTCCAACTCACTACTCACACCACTTCTCTCATTTCAGTTGTTTGCTCAGCCACTTTAGGACTTTGGGTTTAAACCCTGAGTTAGATGTTTCACCAAAAAAGCTAGTGAAGCACAACTGGACTGGGATCTAAGAGACATTTCCTGGATGGGTTCTCATTGTTTAAAAAGACCCCACAACATTCCTACTGTAAATAAATCAATGTTTAATTTCTTATAAAATTCCTTGATGTAGCCTGAGAGCACAGTGTCACAGACCCACTGTTTGATAACATAGTACCATAAGAGTCTAAAATAATGTAATCTAGATAGTCTTGAGGAATCATATTTCCCATAAAGAAAAGCCTAATTTTCTTTTCTGATTTTTGATCAGTCTTACGTTTGCAGAGAGAAATCTCAAGGTTGAACCTGTTTTCAACACAGCCTTAATTAATGGCTCAGAACCAAGTAAGGAGCCAGTTGACGCTGGCAGTGATTCAGGGATGTCTCTAAGCGAGTTACTTAGCACATTTGTGCATTAGGCACCCATAAGTTAGGGAGGGCAAGAGTTGACTGAGCCCCTCTTGATTCTGTTGTGGAAAACCTTGAATGAAGATGATTGTGAATCATTTAACAATATAAAAATAATAGAATATGATACAACTAAAATTTTGTTAGAATGCTTTTCCATTTCTTAAGAGCCTAATGTCTTTTTTTTTTTTTTTTGGTGAGGAGATCAGCCCTGTGCTAACATCTGCCAATCCTCCTCTTTTTTTTTGCTGAGGAAGACTGGCCCTGGGCTAACATCCATGCCCACCCTCCTCCACTTTATATGGGACGCCGCCACAGCATGGCTTGCCAAGCAGTGCGTTGATGCGCGCCCGGGATCCGAACCAGCGAACCCGGGCCGCCGCAGCGGATAGTGAGCACTTAACTGCTTGTACCACCGGGCCGGCCCAAGAGCCTAATGTCTAAGTGACCCAGAATGGCTGCCATGTTTTGTTTTAGAAATTAAATTAAAAGATAGTTCATTTGTATTAGTTACATGAAGGCAGTATGGTAATTAGACTTATTGTCTGCTGTTTTTATACTAATATTTAAATGTCTTTTGGTTTAACTATATTTAGGCTATTCTTTAAACTACAATACCAGTCTTGCACAAAAGGGTCTTCCATGCTAGAATTTTACAGGAACTCGCAAACCAGTAATTAGGTAGCAAAGATTATATGCTAAAGGGAGTGATTATATATGGGGTAGATTCTAAAAATAGTATCTTTTCTAAATAACATTCATCTGCCTTTTCAAAACATCTTTGATTATTGATCATAATGTCTTGAACTGACTAGGTTTTTGCTATCAGTCTATTGTAGAATAGATTTTTATTTATTTTATGTCCTGTGATTCATAAAAATGTTGAGTTCCCACTAGTACATGAATCTTGAATTAAGATTCTACCTTTAGATAAGAAACTATTTTCAGTCGTCTCTTTTACGTCAGATTATAGTACTTCACAAGTACCATTTCTGTGTAAAAATAGGATTCTTTATTCTTAGTAACTCTGTTCTCAGTGCATCATCAGTGATTACTAGTCTTGGCCTTCCTGTTTTGTTAAACAGCCCAAAGCTGTGTTGAGACGACTGCTTAGGCTTATCAGAGACCTCTTTTCCCAAGAACAGGCTGAATTTTTTATTTCTGTTCTCCACTTACGTAAAATATTAGTCACCTATATTGTTATCTTTTTCAGGGTGATCATGGCTTTAAGCAATCCAAAGACACTGAAGAGAGGCTCAAAGTTATCCCAAAATTTTGTTTTCCTGATTCAAAGGACTGGGTGCCAACCTCAGAACTCAAGAGGTAAACAGGCTACTTTATCTGATTTCTATTTGTTGAAACTGCAAAAGTAGAATCTGAATGTTTGAGAAATGGGTAGATCCAGCAGTGAAGCTATGTGGACACTGTGGCAGGTCAAGGATGCAGTGGGAGGAAAGGAAGAAACAGAATTAGAACATTTACTATGTGGGGCTCAGAAAAGAAAAACGTGGAATAATTTCAGTGTCAAAGGGAAAACAAGTTTGAGGATTTCTTCAGTTTGCCAATTCTGCAGAAAAAAATGTTCCACTTTGCATACAATCAGAAATGCCACCAAGTGGACAGAAAAGGAAAAAAAGACTTGAACTTAGGGACTCTACTTAGCAACAGAGATGAAACAGAGCAATATCTGTATCTTGTTTCTCCTTCAAGTTGCTAGAAGAAGCCACGGCCCAGACTGTATGTTTCTCTGTGGAGCTTGTGCAAAGGGAGGCTCCAGTTTGGGAGGTGTGAGTATATTGAGAAGAAAAGTATAAAGAATTCCTTCCTGGTATCTAGAGGAAATTACCATGTTCAATTAATAAACCATTATTGTCTCTGAATCCTGCTTGTAAATAGACAACTGCTTTGTTCAAAATTGTAATTATTGATCATACTGTTTAGGCTGAAAAGCATGATTATGTGACTCATATCACATGCTGACGACCTGCTGGGAGACAGCCCCCACTGTTGCCTAAGTAGCTGCTCTGCCCCTCCACCTCATGGTGCCTTCAGACTAAGCTGCTGTCTCTCATAACCAGTGTAGCCTGATCCCCACTCTCATCTCTGAGCCATCACCCGCTGATGCTCTTGTGCTGCCACTCACACTGCAGACTGCGTAGGCAGCTTCTTTCATGCTGGCCTCGCTGCTCCATGGCTGGCTTTACCCCCCAACAAGTTTTGTGTGTCTATCCTAGAATATTTGGAAAATACAGAGGAGTAAATAAAAACCAGAAATTAGAAATCACTGGCATAAATATATATAGACACATGTATTCATTGTTCAAATTTGGATTTCTTTGATTATTAATGAATTTCTTGGGCATCTTTAGGTCTTTTTGTAAATTACCTATGCATATCTTTTGCCTATGTTTCTAATGAGAAGTTAATATTTTTCTTACTAATTTTTATATATTAAGGATATAATTCTTTGCCTATCACTGTTCCATATGACCTCTCAGAGCTAACTGGAAGAATTTGGAGGGGAAAAATGGCTTATCAAAATCCTTTATAGGGGCCAGCCCAGTGGTGTAGTGGTTAAGTTTGCATGCTCTGCTTTTGCGGCCCGGGGTTCGCAGGTTCAGATCCCGGGTGCGGACCTATGTACCACTTATCAAGCCATGCTGTGGCAGGCGTCCCACATATTAAAGTAGAGGAAGATGGGCACAGATGTTAGCCCAGGGCCAGTCTCCCTCAGCAAAAAAAAAGATGAGGATTGGCATCGGATGTTAGCTCAGGGCTAATCTTCCTCACACACACAAAAAAATCCTTTCTAGCTTACCTATATGTTTGACTAAATTGGACATTCAACAGAAGGAAAATAGGCTCAATTAATAGCTAGACTGTATAAATAAGACAGTAAAAAGAGACAGCAGCATCACCAGCTCATCCTATACCTGATCTCTCACTCCAGTACAGGCAAAGCCTGGACAGTCTCCCTCAGGAAGAGTGACTTGCAATAAATGTAATATTAATGCCTCTTCTTAGATCACAGAATGACTACTGTTGGACCCTAATTTTCAACTATTTGTTCCATGAAGAATGCCATAAGTAGTTGTTTAGATCTCAAACTGTTGACTATTTTTTCAGTGAAACGTTCTCCTTCGTCTTGACTGGTGAAGATGGGAGCCGGTGGTTTGGTTACTGTAAGAAGCTCTTGGTAAGTACCAGACTTATGCTACAGTTAAGGTTGGTCAAGGAACAATAGAGTCAGACTAGGAACTTCAGAAACACTATCTCTAGATGAGTTTGAAGGCTACTCAGTGATCTGTGTATTAAAGAAGCTATGTTACCTTTAAACAGTAAAAGCAAGGTGGGGTTAGCCATGGAGTGTTACAGAATGGAAAGGGTATGGATTCATTTTATTTATTTGTTTGTTAGTAATAAATGAAGAAACCACTGACACAGTGGCTAAATATCCATCTGGGTATATTTGAGGAATGAGTACAATGAGCCAGTTGGGGAGCTCTGAGTTACTTTCTTCTTGCTTAGTTAGATGCCTCCACTAAACCTGGAATAAATCTTGCTATCATTTTTTAGCATTTCCCATATTTCAGTGTTCATTAAGGATGAAAGCCTTGGTTCCTGCTCTTTACTAAAGAATATTAATAGTCCAAATAAGTAAAGATTGTGTTGCTTAATTTTTGCCTTGTTTTTCTTTCAGCCAGAAGGCAAAGGAAAGCGACTCCCTGAGGTGTACTGCATGGTTAGTCGCCTGGGCTGCTTCAACCTTTTTTCAAAGGTAAGTGGAGAATGGGTCCTATGAAAAGTGTTCTTTCTGAGCGCTGAGCTTTTGTTTCTGATGACTTCACTAGGCAATGTTAAGTGGCATAGACTTTAGAAAGGGTGCCTCATTAGTAGATTAGAACCACAGGTTTTAAAGCTTAAATTTAGATCTTCATTCCAGATGCTGTTGCCATCCTCATTTTGGTTTGCTAAACCTCCCAGCTTTTAGGAGAACATAGCCCGAAGCTTAGCTTGTCTTGTCTTTCCCAGACCCCAAACTGCAGGATATCATTGTCAGTGTCACCTTCTTGGCCCCTACCTTAGTGACATTAAAAGGGGTCCCTCTTCTAAAAATAAGTTGATTTATTTTAGAAATTTTTCTTGGGGATGTAAAGATACCCCCAAGAGATATGATGCCTTTAATAAACTTTTATTGGTTGCAGAAGTTATCTGTTGGAGTTATTTTCAAGTTTGTGCACCAAGTTTGGCAATTCCTTTAATAGGATTCCTTTATGTTTTTGAACTGAGTCTAATAAAATAACATATTTTGTGTGTGTAGATTCTGGATGAAGTAGAGAAAAGAAGAGAAATGTCTCCAGCCCTGGTTTACCCATTCATGCGAAGCGTCATGGAAGCTCCTTTCCCAGCTCCTGGACGCACCATCACAGTTAAGAGCTACCTCCCTGGGGCCGGAGATGGTGTAAGTTAGCTCATTTTGAAGTTTTGATAGCTGCCAAAAAGTAGGCCTTACACTAATAGGCAGAGTTTCCAAGAAGCCTCAAAACATAGTTTTCCTTTTCCATAAACTGTGCAGAATATGTTTTAGTCCCACAAAGCACTGGAGAAATATGCAGTTCATCTGTAAGATAGTTGATCCTAGACCCAGGAACCAGAGGTTTTCCACCATTCGTAGATTGAGCCCCTTTGTATGACAATTTCAGTGTGATAAATGAAGATTATACATACTATTGTCAGATAGGATAAATGATTTTACCAGAAATTTACAGCACAAAAATAAGATATTAGGTCTTGGAATTAGTATAGGTAGCTTTACAAACTCTTTGTAACAGACCCTGTTTCTTGAATTTAACCAACAAAAGAATGACAGAATCTATTAGTGTTGTCATTAGGAATTGTTTTCCAACCTCAGCTCCCCTAAATCAAATTCTTGCATTTTAGTCAATTGAACTCTGCCGACCACTGGATTCCCGACTGGAACATGTTGACTTTGAATGTCTCTTTAAGTGCCTGAGTGTGTGTCATCTCATCCGGGTCTGTGCCTCTCTCCTTTTGGAGCGGAGGGTAATCTTTGTTGCTGACAGCCTAAGGTGAGAAATAAGTAAAATATGTCACTTTATACTGGTGTTATACTTGTTCTTACTATTTTAAAATTTAGGCATATTAAAAAACTGTAGGATCTCAATTACCTAATGCTATAGTCACATGGATAATTCCAAATGGTAAACAATTCAAAAGCTGTTTGCATTAGGCTGTAGCAGTGACTTTTTGGGGTTGTAATTAATTTATGTTTCTAAATGTGTTTTGCTTAAACTGTTGTTAAAAGTTGGTATTTGTTTTCTAAGTACACATTAATTTTTAGCAATATGAATTGTGAGAAAGAGCTGGATTGAGAGTCAAGATTTTCTGTAAATTAAGTTAAAAATTTAAATAAAATGTTAAAAGCTAATGAGTAATCACAGAGTTGTTCATCTGTGATCACTAACTGTTATCAATTTGTAATTCTGTAATATAATATCTAAAACACCCTGTTTGTGTTGCTTTGCATGTGACACCATTTGCTTTTTCCTCCTTGCTTTCTGCTTTCTCCCTTGGCTAGCACCCTGTCAAAATGTGGCCATGCTGTGGTGGCCACACTGTATCCATTCACCTGGCAGCATACCTACATCCCAGTCCTGCCAGCATCTATGATCGACATTGTGTGCTCGCCTACGCCGTTCTTTATTGGAATCCTGTCTTGCTCCTTACCACAGCTTCAGGACCTACCCATTGAAGAGGTGAGATGGAAGAAATAGTACTGAAAAGATTGGAGCACTGACAAATAAAACAAGTGATCTTTAAGAGTGAGAGAGTTGTCATTAATTAATATTTATATATAATTATTATTAATACATTATGCGGTCATATTTTGTGTATCTTTTTCTTTAAAGTGAGAAACATTCTATAGTACACATGAATCCAAAGTTGTGTCTTATTTACAGTAGTAAACCATGGGCTCATTCTTGTGTTATTCTGAAGGGTAGGTCTTTTTTTTTTTAAGTCAAACGCAAAAACTACTCTGGGTTAACTTAAAAAATTGTTTCAAATATAACACACCTATAGATAAGTATCCAAAACAAAATGTACAGCTCAGTGAATTATCACAAAGTGAATGCTTATGTAACCAACATTGGAATAGAATGGAAACATTACAGCACTGGAAACAGTGCCAGCTCCCGAGAAGTCCCCATCATGCTTCCTTCTCATCTCCATTCCCTTCGCCACCCCCCACAAAAGGTAACCCCTATCTTGACTTTCATAGTGTTCATTTACTTGTTTTTCTGTATAGTTTTACATCCTAGGCGTGTAACCTTAAACAATATAGTACAGTTTTGCCCAGTTTTAAGCATGATATAAATAAACTCATGCTGTGTGTATATATGTTTTGTTTGGCTTCTTTTGATCAGCATTATATCTGTAAGATTCATCCATGTTGATGAGTTTAACAGTAGTTTGATCATTCTAATTGTGTATACTATTCCATTGTGTGAATGTACCACGATTTTCTTATGCATTGTGCACTTGATAGACATTTGAGTTGTTCCCAGTTTGGGGTTATTATAAGTAGTGCTGCTATAGATATTCTTGTGCGTTGCTCCACATCCTCGTCAAGACTTGTTATCATGGGGCTGGCCCGGTGGCGCAAGCGGTTAAGTGCGTGCACTCCGCTGCGGTGGCCCGGGGTTCGCTGGTTAAGATCCCGGGCGTGCACCGACGCACCACCGCTTGGCAAGCCGTGCTGTGGCGGCATCCCCTATAAAGTGGAGGAAGATGGGCATGGATGTTAGCCCAGGGCCAGTCTTCCTCAGCAAAAAAAAAAAAGGAGGATTGGCAGATGTTAGCTCAGGGCCGATCTTCCTCACAAAAAAAAAAAACGACTTGTTATCATCAGTTTATATAATTTAGCCTTTCTGGTAGGTGTGTAGTGGTATTCTCATTGTGGCTTAATTTGCATTCCTTGATTACTGTTGAGGGTGAGCATCTCTCTTTATGTTTATTGGCCATTTGAATACCATCTTTTGTAAAATTCATTGTCTGTCTTTCTACTGGATTGTTTGCCCTCATTGATTTGTAAGAGGGCTTTTTATATTCTGGATATCAGCTCCTTTGTGGCTTGCCTTTTCATTCTCCAAAATGATGTTTTTTAATGCACAGAAGTTTTTAATTTTAATGTAGTCAAAAAATTATCAATCTTTTCCTTTATGGTTAATGGTTTTTCTTGTGAGCTGCTTAAGTTTTTCTTATATTAACTTCATGGAGCTATCCTCCTACATTGTCTCCTGGAGTCTTTGGAAACTTTATTATTTTGCCTTTAATTTTTGGTTCTGAATCCTGGGACTTGATTTTTTTGTATATGATAGGAGGTAGGGGTCATTTCATTTTTTTTCACATGGATAGCCAACTATCCCGGTACCATTTCTTGAGAAGAATGTTCTTCCCCGTTACTCTGCTGGGTTAACCTTCCCCCGCCACCAGTTTTATTGAGATATGATTGATATATAACATTGTATTAGTTTAAGGTGTACAACATAATGATTTTATATATGTATATTTTGTGAAATGATTACCATAATAAGTTTAGTTAACATCCATCACCTCACATAGTTAAAAAATTTTTTTCTTGTGATGAGAACTTTTAAGATCTGGTTTCTTAGCAGCTTTCAAAAATACAATACAGGGCCGGCCCCGTGGCTTAGCGGTTGAGTGCGCACGCTCCGCTGCTGGTGGCCCGGGGTTTGGATCCCGGGCGCGCACCAACGCACCGCTTCTCCAGCCATGCTGAGGCTGCGTCCCACATGCAGCAACTGGAAGGATGTGCAACTATGATGTACAACTATCTACTGGGGCTTTGGGGGAAAAAATAAATAAATAAATAAATAAAATTAAAAAAAAAAATACAATACAGTATTGTTAACTATAGTCAGCATGTACATTATATCCCCAGGACTTTTTTATCTTATCACTGGAAGTTTGTGCCTTTTGACCACCATCGCCCATTTCGCCCATCCCCCACCCCATACCTCTGGCAACCACAATGTCTGTTCTCTGTGTCTATGAGTTTAGGTTTTTTAGATTGCACATGTAAGTGAGATCATACGATATTTGTCTTTTTCTGCCTGACTTATTTCACTTAGCATAATGCCCTCAAGGTCCATCCATGTTGTCACAAATGGCAGGATTTCCTTCTATTTTATGGCTGAGTATTAGTCCATTGTATTTTTTACCACATCTTCTTTACCTGCTCGTCCATCAAGGGACAATTAGGTTGTTTCAGTTTCTTGGTTATTGTAAATAATGCTGCAGTGAATATGAGGGTGCAGATACCTTTTCAAGATAGTGATTTCATTTCCGTTAGATATGTGCCCAGAAATGGGATTGCTGGATCATATGGTAGTTCTATGTTTAATTTTTTGAGGAACTTCATACTGTTTTCCGTAGTGGTTGCACCAATTTACATTCCCACCAACAGTGCACAAAGTTTCCCTTTTCTCCACATCCTCACCAGCATTTATCTTTTGTCTTTTTGGTAATAGCCATTCTATCAGGCGTGAGGTGATATCTCATTGTGGTTTCGATTTGCATTTCCCTAATGATTAGTGATGTTGACACCTTTTCATGTCCCTGTTGGCTTTTTGTGTGTCTTCTTTGGGAAAATGTGTATTCAGTTCCTCTGCCCATTTTTTAATCGGATTGTTTGGGTTTTTTTGCTGTTGAGTTGTATGAGTTCTTTATATGTTTTGGATAGTAACTGCTTATCAGATATGTGATTTGCAAATATTTTCTCCTATTCTCTAGGTTTCCTTTTCATTTTGTTGATCCTTTCCTTTGCTGTGCAGAAGCTTTTTAGTTTGATGTAGTCTCCACCCGTTTATTTTTTGCTTTTGCCACCTTTGCTTTTGGAATCAAATCCAAAAGATCATTGCCAAGACTGATGTCAAGATGCTTACCCCCTATGTTTTCTTCTAGGAGTTTTGTGGTTTCAGGTCTTACATTCAGTTCTTTAATCCATTTTGAGTTGATTTTTGTGTATAGTGTAAGATAAGCTTCCAGTTTCATTTTTTTGCATGTGGCTGTCCAGTTTTCCCAACACCGTTTATTGAAGAGACTGTCCTTTCCCCATTGTATGTTCTTGGTTCTTTGTCATAAATTAATTGATTATGCATGGGTTTATTTCTGGACTCTGTATTCTGTTCCATTGATCTATGTCTCTGTTTTTATGCCAATACCATACTGTTTTGATTACTATAGCTTTGTAATATTGTTTGAAATCAGGAAGTGTGATGCCTCTAGCTTTGTTCTTCTTTGTCAAGATTGCTTTGGCTCTTCGTGGTCTTTTGTGGTTCTGTATAAATTTTAGGATTGTTTGTTCTATTTCTGTGAAAAATCCCATTGAAATTTTGATAGGGATTGCATTGAATCCATAGATTACCTTGGGTAGTGTGGAAATTTTAATAATATTAATTCTTCCAATCTGTGAGCATGGAATATCTTTCCATTTATTTGTGTCTTCTTCAGTTTCTTTCATCCGTGTCTTATAGTTTTCAGTGTACAAATCTTTCACCTCCTTGGTTAAATTTATTCCTAGGTATTTTATTCTTTTTGATGAGATTGAAAATGGAATTGTTTTCTTAATTTCTTTTTCAAATAGTTTGTTGTTAGTGTATAGAAACACAACTGATTTTTGTATTAATCTTTTTTTTTAACTTTTATTATGGAAAATTTCAGACATATGTAAAAGTAAACAAATGAGTAAAATAAATCCAGTCACATTACTTCAATACTTACCAAGTTATAGTTAATCTTTACCCTTACCCATCCCTTTCTCCCATAATATTTTGAAGCATATCCTGACATAATTTCATCTCTAAATATTACAATATGAATCTCTATAGCATAAGGGCATTTTTAGCTTAATCACAATACCATTATCACACCTAAAAAATTTAATAACAGTTCCTTAATATCAGTAAAATCTAGTGTTCATATCTCTAGTTATTTCATAAATTTTTAATAGTTTGTTTAAATCAGGTCCCAGATAAAGTCCATACACTGCATTTGGTTGGTATTTTTTTTAATCTTTTTAAAAGATGTGCCCACCATCATTTTTTTTTTACTTGCAACTTATTTGTTGATATGTTGCTGAGTTAACTTTTAAATGGACTACAACTTTATGTCAATTTTGTTTAAAACTATTCCCATTGCTTGAAAGAATCAAAACACGCTTCCTAATCTAGCAGTGCCTAATGTATTTCTCTGTGAATGGCTCTGGTTTAACTTGCCTGGTTCCTTTATCTCATAGGTACTGATAGTTGATCTCTGTGCAGACAAGTTCTTGCAGGAGGTGAGTGACAAAGGAGGTCATTACATAATGTTTGGAGATAATTGGACAGAAATATGTGAAAGTACTTAGAGAAGATGACTCAGGCAAGACTTTTAGTTCCTGTACGTACTTGACTTGACACTGTGGCCAATCATACAAGATTGACCTGAAAGATTTGGCTTGGATTTATAGCTGTCTGTCTCAAAGAAGGAAAGAGGAAACATTAAATGTCATTCTCGGAAGAGGTAACCCTCCCTTCAAGTCCAGATGGGTTGATGTGTAAGCCTCTAATTTAATTAAATTTAACAAGCATTCATTCCGCGCTGATTATTTCAGATATTCTGTTAGTCAGTCAGAATCTAAAGATGAGTAAGACTCAGTTTGAGCCCTCAGGCCTTATAGTCTAATGGTGGGGAAGGGGAGCAGACATATCCATAAAGTTTTAGAAACGGTATAATAGAAATTTGTACAAAGTACAGTAGGGGGCAAAAAAGAAGTGGTCATTTATTCTGGATACTGAAAAGTTAGTAAAGCCTTCTTAGAGCAGCACTCTGTATGTAGCTTGTATGTAGGTTTGTGAGTATTGAACACAGAGTGAAAAGAATGTTTCCCAAGACTTTGTCTTTTTTCAAAAATTAGCTCATTACACTTGAAACACCATTTATTTGGGGATGACTTTAATATAGCGTAAGACTTGTAGATGAGTAGATGAGAGATACTTGTTGGAAAAGTGCCAGAAAATTTTATAAAGTATATTATCTAATTTTTTAAAATATAATTAAGATATATACACTATAAACATCATAGATTCTGCTCAATGTAGGGAAGGAAGCTTCAGACTAACTCTTCAGCCAAAATATATACAAAGTCATCTGTGGAATTTGGGGGACCTAACTAGTGCATGTTTGAGACTTTCTCTCTCAAAGCTCATGAAAAAAATCTCAATTTCTTCTTTTAAGGTATCTGATGAGGATGAAATTTTACCACCTAAACTCCAAGCTGCCCTGATGCAGATTTTGGAAGAACGAAATGAAATCTTGGCTCAAGAGCAGAATTTTTCACAAGGTATGAGACAAGTGTTCTGAGGACTTAAGGTCCAAGCAGTAAATATTTACTGAATACCCAGCACACTGCTAAAGGATATACAAAAGTGTATACAAGGATATACAAAGTAGTATGGATATACTACTTTGGATACACAAAAGTAGTATGAGATTACCTGTGCCTTAAAAAGCTTATAATCAGCTCCTTGCTGACCCTCAGATGTGCCAGGTCCCCTCCTGTTTCAGGACTTTTACACTTGCTCAGTTCCATTTGTGAAATGCTATTCCCCTAGATATGCACATGGCTCCTGCTCTTTCTTCCTGCACGTCCATGCTCAAATGTCACTTTCTCAGTGAGGCCTTTCCTGACTCTCCTATTTAAAATTGTACCTGTTGCTTTAGCACTCCCTATCCTCCTCCCTGACCTTATTTTTCTCCACAGCGTTTATCACCATCTGATGTGCTAGACTGGAAGTTCCATGACAGCAGCGACTATATATTTTGTTTTCTATCTCTAATACTTTAAGCAGTATTCAATAAATAGGTACTCAGTATTTGTTGAATAAATGGGTGAATATTTATTCGGTGGCTTACTCTGTAACACCAGGCATTGTGCTAAGCACTTAGCATACCTCTTAGTTCATTCTTGTAATATCCTTATGAAGCAGGTATCATTATTTGATCCCCATTTTACAGATGAGAAAACTAAGGCTATTTACTGATGGGGAACATTAGGGAAGAAGCAGGTTTAGAGGAGTAATTAAAAGTTCACTTTTGGAAAACTATCCCTCTAAGAACAGGAACCAGACAAGAATGCCCACTCTCACCAGTCCTATTTAACATAGTACTGGAAGTCCTAGCCAGAGCAATCAGGCAAGAAAAAGAAATAAAAGGGATCCAAACTGGAAAGGAAGAAGTGAAACTCTCACCATTTGCAGATGACATGATTTTATACATAGAAAACC